GAAGTAGAAGAGTGAGGGTGAGGTAGAAGAGTGAGGGTGAGGTAGAAGAGTGAGGGTGAGGTAGAAAAGTGAGGTGAGGTAGAAAGTGAGGTGAAGTAGAAGAGTGAGGGTGAGGTAGAAGAGTGAGGGTGAAGTAAGTGAGGGTGAGGGAAAGAGTGAAGGTGAGGGAGAAGAGTGAGGGTGAGGTAGAAGAGTGAGGGTGAGGTAGAAGAGTGAGGGTGAGGTAGAAGAGTGAGGGTGAAGTAGAGTGAGGGTGAGGTTTGAAGAAATGAGGGTGAGGTAGAAAGTGAAAGGTGAGGTAGAAGAGTGAGGGTGAGGTAGAAGAGTGAGGGTGAGGTAGAAGAGTGAGTGTGAAGTAGAAGAGTGAGGGTGAAGTAGAAGATGAGGGTGAGGTAGAAGAGTGAGGGTGAGGTAGAAGAGTGAAGGTGAGGTAGAAGAGTGAGGTGAGGTAGAAGAGTGAGGGTGAAGGTAGAAGAGTGAGGGTGAAGTAGAAGAGTGAGGGGGAAGTAGAAGAGTGAGGGTGAGGTAGAAGAGTGAAGGTGATGTAGAAGAGTGAGGGTGAGGTAGAAGAGTGAAGGTGAGGTAGAAGAGGGGGTGAGGGTAGAAGAGTGAGGGTGAAGTAGAGTGAGGGTGAGGTAGAAGAGTGAAGGTGAGGTAGAAGAGTGAGGGTGAGGTTTGAAGAGTGAGGGTGAGGTAGAAGAGTGAGGGTGGGTAGAAGAGTGGGGGTGAGGTAAGAAGAGTGAGGGTGAAGTAGAGTGAGGGTGAGGTAGAAGAGTGAGGGTGAGGTAGAAAGAGTGAGGGTGAGGTAGAAGAGTTAGGGTGAGGTAGAAGAGTGAGGGTGAGGTAGAAAAGTGAGGGTGAAGTTAGAGTGAGGGTGAGGTTTGAAGAGTGAGGGTGAGGTGAAGAGTGAGGGGGAGGTTGAAGAGTAAGGTGAGGTAGAAGAGTGAGGGGGAGGTAGAAGAGTGAGGGTGAGGTAGAAAAGTGAGGGTGAGTAGAAGAATGAGGATGAAGTAGAAGAGTGAGGGTGAGATAGAAGAGTGAGGGTGAGGTAAAAAGAGTGAGGGTGAAGTAGAAGAGTGAGGGTGAGGTAGAAGAGTGAGGTGAAGTAGAAGAGTGAGGGTGAGGTAGAAGAGTGAAGGTGAGGTAGAAGAGTGAGGGGGAGGTGAAGAGTGAGGGTGATGTAGAAGGGGTGAGGGTGAAGTAGAAGTGTGAGAGTGAAGTAGAAGAGTGAGGGTGAAGTAGAAGAGTGAGGGTGAGGTAGAAGAGTGAAGGTGAGGTAGAAGAGTGAGGGTGAGGTAGAAAGGAGGGTGATGTAGAAGTGTGAGAGTGAAGTAGAAGAGTGAGGGTGAGGTAGAAGAGTGAAGGTGAGGTAGAAGAGTGAGGGTGGTGTAGAAGAGTTAGGGTGAGGTAGAAGTGAGGGTGAAGTAGAAGAGTGAGGGTAAGTAGAAGAGTGAGGGTGAAGTAGAGAGTGAGGGTGAGGGAGAAGAGTGAGGGTGAGGTAGAAGAGTGAGGGTGAGGTAGAAGAGTGAGGGTGAGGTAGAAGAGTGAGGGTGAGGGTAGAAGAGTGAGGGGGAGTAGAAGAGTGAGGGTGAGGTAGAAGAGTGAGGGTGAAGTAGAAGAGTGAGGGTGAAGTAGAAGATGAGGGTGAATAGAAGAGTGAGGTGAGGTAGAAGAGTGAGGTGAATAGAAGAGTGAGGGTGAGGTAGAAGAGTGAGGGTGAGGTAGAAGAGTGAGGGTGAAGTAGAAGAGTGAGGGTGAGGTAGAAGAGTGAGGGTGGGGTAGAAGAGTTAGGGTGAGGTAGAAGAATGAGGTGAAGTAGAAAAGGAGTGTGAAGTAGAAGATTGAGGGTGAGGAAAAAGGGTGAGGGTGAGGTAAAGAGTGAGGGTAATTGGGAAGGTGGGGGTGAAGTAGAAGAGGAGGGTAAAGAAAAGTGAGGGTTTGGTTTGAAGAGTGAGGGGGGGGATAGGATGGGGAACGAAGGGGGGAAAAAAAAGGGAAGGGAAAAGAGGAGGAGGAAGTAAGGGAGAAGGAAAAGAAAAATAAAGGAAAAGAAAAAAGAGAGGAGAAGAGAGAGAAAAGGAGAGAGAGAGAAAAGGGGAAGTGTTTTTTTTAAAATAAACAATACTACACATCTTTTTGTTTACAAAGTTTCCGAAGCCGTGACTTTCATCCTGCTCCTGACTCCCCTTTTTGGGCTGGTCCCCTACTAAGGGCCCCAAAATCTTTCCCCTTTATCATGAACTTTATCATACCTCTTCTTAAAAACAAGTATGGAACCCCCCCTCCAGGTAACCACGTAACACATCACACTCCCCGATTGTTCCACTTCCGGGCGGGCTCTATGAAATGAAGAAAAACTTCCTAAAATCCCTCGTGTATGTGTGTGTGTATGTGTTGTGTGTGTGTTGGGGTGTGTGTGTGTGTGGTGTGTGTGTGGGGTTTTTGTGTGTGTTTAATCAAATTTGTTTTAACGTACGTATCGTCCCGACAGTAACTTCAACCTGAGTAACTCCGAACTCGTCACCGACATAAAATTCTGACTTAAGGGGGGTGGGGGTGGTGGTGTGGGTGTGTGAGGAGGGGGGGGTGGTGGTGGTGGTGTGGGATCGTGTGGGAGGGTGGTGGTGGTGGTGTGGGATCGTGTGGGAGGGTGGTGGTGGTGGTGTGGGATCGTGTGGGAGGGTGGTGGTGGTGGTGTGGGATCGTGTGGGAGGGTGGTGGTGGTGGTGTGGGATCGTGTGGGAGGTGGTTTGGGGTGTGTGGGGTGTGGTGGAATCGGTGTGGTGTGGGTGGTGGTGGTGTGGTGTGGGATCGTGTGGGAGGGTGGTGGTGGTGGTGTGGGATCGTGTGGGAGGGTGGTGGTGGTGGTGTGGGATCGGTGGGAGGGTGGTGTGTGGTGTGTGGGACGTGTGGGAGGTGGTGGTGGTGGTGTGGGATCGTGTGGGAGGGTGGTGGTGGTGGTGTGGACGTGTGGGAGGGTGGTGGTGGTGGTGTGGATCGTGTGGGAGGGTGGTGGTGGTGGTGTGGATCGTGTGGGAGGGGGTGGTGGTGGTGGGATGTGTGGGAGGGTGTAGGGGTGTGTGGGATCGTGTGGGAGGGTAAGTAAGAAGTGGTGAGAGATCGTGTGGGAGGGTGGAGAGTGGTGGGTGGGACGTGTGGAGGTGTGGTTGTTTGGGATCGTTGGACGATGTTGGTGGTTATCCGTGTTGGAAGGCCGTGTTTCTTGTCCGGATCGTTTCGGTAGGGTGGGTGTGGTCATCTCGTGTCAGGTGATGTGGTGTACCTTTCTTGAAGCGTTGTGTGGTGCTGCGTCGGTGACACGTGCTTATGCTGGATGTATCCGGGGACTGTGTTGTTGAAGATCTTGGTGAGCGTGGTTGTGTTGTGTGTGGGTGTGTGGATGGTGTGTGGTGTGTGTGTGGTGTGGTGGTGTGTGTGGGTGTGGGGAGTGGTGGGGTGTGTGTCTGTGGGGGGTGTGGTGGTGGTGTGGTGTGTGGTGTGGTGGTGTGTGTTCGTGTGGGAGGTGGTGGTGGTGTGTGTATAGTATTTGTGTGTACGTTATCGTCCGACAGTGACTGGTAGATGTATCGATTCGTCAATGCGGAGGCTGTGCTTGGTGTGGGATGGTGGGAGGGTGGGTGGTGGTGTGGGATCGGTGAGGGAGGTGGTGGTGGTGTGGGATCGTGTGGGAGGTGGTGGTGGTGGTGTGGGATCGTGTGGGAGGGTGGTGGTGGTGGTGTGGGATCGTGTGGGAGGGTGGTGGTGGTGTGGGGATCGTGTGGGAGGGTGGTGGTGGTGGTGTGGGATGTGTGGGAGGGTGGTGGTGGTGGTGTGGGATCGTGTGGGAGGGTGGTGGTGGTGGTGTGGGATCGGTGGGAGGTGGTGGTGGTGGTGTGGGATGGTGTAGGGAGGGTGGTGGTGGTGGTGTGGGATCGTGTGGGAGCGTGGTGGTGGTGGTGGTGTGGGGATCGTGTGGGAGGGTGGTGTGGTGGTGTGGGATCGTGTGGGAGCGTGTGGTGGTGGTGTGGTGTGTGGATCGTGTGGGAGGGTGGTGGGGTGTGGTCGTGGGAGGTGGTGGTGTGTGTGGGATCGTGTGGAGGTGGTGGTGGTTGGGATCGTATCTGGGAGGGTGGTGGTGTGTGTGGATCGTGTGGGGTGTGGTAGAACTGTGAGTGTATCTTGTATTTCCGTTGGGAGGATGGCTGGCGTTGGGTGTCGTGGAGTGTCGAAGCTGGGTTGGTGTGGGTCTGTGTGGAGAGTGCCTGGTGGTTGGGTGTTGGTGAGAGTGCTGGTGTGTGGAGTGTTGTGTTTGTCGGGAGAATTGGGTTGGGTTTCATCTTGAGTGTTTTGTGTCATCTGTTTCCTAAAAAATTAGTTATCTTTATTTCTCTCTGGTGTCAGAAAGCCTGGCGTTGGTGTCTGGTGTCAGAAAGCCTGGCGTTGGGGTCTGGTGTCAGAAAGCCTGGCGTTGGTGTCTGGTGTCAGAAAGCCTGGTGTTGGAGTCTGGGGTCAGAAAGCCTAGTGTTGGTGTCTGGTGTCAGAAAGCCTGGCGTTGGTGTCTGATGTCAAAATGCCGGGTGTTAGTGACTGGTGTCAGAAAGCCTGGTGTTAGTGTCTGGTGTCAGAAAGCCTGGTGTTAGTGTCTGGTGTCAGAAAGCCTGGTGTTAGTGTCTGGTGTCAGAAAGCCTGGCACAGTCGTCTTTATTCTGGGTTTTGGGTAATTCTTCGCTTGTTGTAGTCGGATTGGGTGCGTTTGGTCATTTTACACACACACAAATCGAGGATTTAAAAAACCAAACCATACCACGGGCGGGATTTGAACTCGCGTCATTACTATTTCGTGAGTCGAGGATTTAAGTGTGTGTGTGTGTGTGTGTGTGTGTGTGTGTGTGTGTGTGTGTGTGTGTGTGTGTGTGTGTGTGTGTGTGTGTGGAGCTTGTTTGCGCGCGCGTGTATGTGGAAGGGTTTCCCTGTGGACACCTCTAGTTACTGGTGGAGTCTGCGTTAGCTGGCGTGAACGCACCTTGCACACTGACCTCTGAGATATGTAACGTTGTTTATCCTGTGTGTACCTGAAACTGACATAAGAAGATAAGAAAGATGGACCACTGCAGCAGGCCTACTGGCCCATGCTAGGCAGGTCCAAGGCACCTACTGGCCTAAGCTAGTCAGGTCCAAGTCACATCAGCTTAAGAAGGAAGGAACACTACATCAAATGTATCGACCCAATCTAGTCAGGTCCAGTTTACATGCCAGAAATGAAAATTTCATTTCATAAAACTTATTTTCCAGTCTCTTGCCCTGTAATAAAAAAATTAGTATGGGAAGTTGCCCAAGTTGAGCGAAGAATTTGAATCAATATACTAGAGGCATTACCCTCCTGGCGTCACGGGAAACGCAGACGAGAGGAGCTGTTGACCAGAGATGTTTTGAAAGATCGTGTACTCTAGTCTGGCCATACCTGGCGACCTCCAGCCTCGTGTCTACCCCAAAGTTAATTAACAGATTTTATTCAAGATTTCGTGACCAAGTTTGTGGCAGCCGGTGATAGAAAGTTCCGTCTTGTGTTTGACTTTACCGGAGTGACGGAATAACTCTCTCTCTCTCTCTCTCTCTCTCTCTCTCTTTTCCTTACGGGTAAATGTGAGGAAATGTTCAGCTTGAGATATAAACATAGTTTCTTTGTCCATCGCCTCCGGTGAAAGTTGGAAAAAACTAATTATTAAAATTCCTCTGTGTTGCTGTTCTTCAACTTTGACATTTGTTTATAGTGTCGCCTCAGAGTTATACGTTAGAGGGACAGTCATTGTCGCACGTCATCGTCACAGGACTCTGGCGAGGTTGTCCATCATCCAACCTGCGTAGGACATGGAGCAGGAGAACCAGAGAGGGATACGCAAGTCCCTCTCCCTCGACTTCCAGCTCTTCAGAAGCTCCTTCGGGAGGAAGTGCAAGGAAAAGGTCACTTCCCTAGAGCGTTCAAGAAACTTTAAGCGTTGCGAGACGGTTCCTGAAGCTCCTTAGCCAAGACATGCGACTCCTCGCTCACACAGCATTCACCGAAGACAGGCGCTGATAGCCTGGAGAACGCAGCAGAAGATGACACCAGCAGGAAATATACATCTGAAGCTTCATCTGATTCACCAAGGACCAGCTTGTCAGGAAAGTTCTTCGGCCGGATGAAAAGCTGTTACAGCAGCAAGGATAACTTATCCGAGGAGAAAGACAAAACGGAGACCAAAACAGAAGATGCTGATGACTCCAGTTATAAAGGAAACACTCTAATAAGTAGGATCAGGAACCGCTATAGCAGTAGGGAATCCCTGAAAGACGCATCTCCTCTAAATAAGTTAAAAACGTCATCAGAAGAGACTTGGAAAGGTTTGGGTATCTTAAACAAGCTATATAATAAGATAGGAAGCATTGACAATACGAGCGAAGACGACCTGAATCTTGCCAACAAATCAGAGGAATACTGGAAAGGAGTCAATTTCCTGGACAAGGCTCACGATATCATGAATAAGCTGGAGTGGGAGGATGACCATTTCCTCGGCACGATAGAACCCGATATCAAGCCTGAGGACCGGATAGGCTGGCTTACCCACGAGAGAAAGCCACTCAAGGACTCCTTGGAGAAGGGAATTGTGATGCCGGAGTCGAGGAGAGATCGAGGCAGGAACTCCATCATCTCCCTGGGTTCCCTCCACTCCGTGTCCTCCATACCCACAGCCCCTCCCCCGCGTTCCGGGGCTGTCATAAGGAACTCCAAATACTCCAACCAGAGGCGAGGCAAGGTGGCTCGCCAGGCCTTCCGATATACAAGGCATCAGAGTTCAAGAAGTTAGGAAAGAGCTCACGGAAACCCAAGGTGAGGCTGTCACAGATACCTCTGGCGCTAATTTCACTCTCTCAGGGTGTAAAGTATCCACAGTGGGGGTGCATCTTTATCTTCACTTGTGTGGGTAATATGCAGTGGGCTTGGCTTGTTTATTTCTCAGGGCTGTAGGGGATACCCAGTGGTGTGCTTGATTTCTCTAGATGAGTGTAGGGGGATACCACCTGGCCATCTATGTCTATACTCTGTGTCAAGTACTCACTCTTGCTAGGATATCATTGGTCCTAAGAATATTCCTGTGCACCTAAGATATACATCTCTGTTACGTTGTTGTAAATTAGACCACATGTGCGAGCACTTGGGTATCTTTATTTGATGGAAATCAGTTTGGCCACACAGTGGATTTCATCAGTCGTATACGGAACCAAGAATGTGTGAAGACCGGGTTTGAGGGAATGGATCCCAGTCTGGAGTCGATGTATCAGTCTTCTTGAAAGTTGATGCTAGTGAGCGCACTCAGCTCACAAATTGAGGTTCGTGGTCAGATCCCGTTACGGGTGGACAACCATTAGGACGTGTTTCATAAGACACTGCTGTACTTGTTCATAACGGTTAAAATGGACCTTGGGTGTTAGTTGACTTGTGTGGGTCGCGTGCTCATGGGGATCAAAAGAATGTGAGACCTAATTTGCCCGGAAATGCCCTGTATAATAATGGGGCTTTTAAATAATATGATGACTAGTGGTTCGCTATAAAAGTATGTATCATGTACTTGATAAATTAAAGATTTTATTAATTATTTTATTGTTATTATTATTATTATAGTTATCTATGTAGTACATTTTGTCATCTGTCATAACCCAAAAATTCAACTAAATGTTTCCTGAATCAAGCATATTTATACAGAAACATAACTTTCGATTTAACTTTTGAAAAATAGATATAGGTAACTTTTTATAAGAAGTTCCGAAATCATACCCAGTTCTTGATATTGGGTAGTTGTTTGTTGCGCTACGCTGTAGGAGCACGGTTATAACCGGTGTAGTATTAAGCGTGGCTATTTTAGTCTGTAAGAAGCACAAGTTGCTGTTCATCTTTGTGTTGTCACTTTGTAGTGCTGTCACGCCTCTGTAGTGTTGTCACTCTGTAGTTGTCCACTAATTGTAGTGTGTCATTCTTGCTAGTGTTGTCACCTCTTGTAGTAGTGGTGTCATCTTGTAGTGTTGTATTCTTGATTATGTTTCATTTTGTAGTGTTGTCATTCTTGTAGTGTTTATTTTGTAGTGTTGTCATCTTGTATCTGTTAACCTCTTATAGTTTGCTCAGCATTTTTAGTGTTGTCATCTTTGTAGTGTGTCACTTTGTAGAGTTGCACAATTTAAGTAAGTTTTTATTTAGTGTAGTGTTGTCATTTGTAGTGTTTCATTCTAGGTAGTGTTGTCATTCTTGTAGTGTTGGTCACTTTGTAGTGTTGTATCCTGTGTGTTGTCATTCTTGTAGTGTTGTCACTCTTGTAGTGTTGTCACCTGTAGTGTTGTTATTCTTGTAGTGTTGACATTCTTGTAGTGTTGTCAGTTTTGTAGTGTTATCACTCTTGTAGTGTTGTCTCTTGTAGTGATGTCATTCTTGTAGTGTTGTCATTCTTGTAGTGTTGTCACTCTTGTAGTGTTGTCACTCTTGTAGTGTTGTCACTCTTGTAGTGTTGTCATTCTTGTAGTGTTGTCATTTTGTAGTGTTGTATTCTTGTAGTGTTGTCACTCTTGTAGTGTTGTCATCTTGTAGTGTTGTCACTTTGTAGTGTTGTCACTCTTTGTAGTGTTGTTCACTCTTGTAGTGTTGTCATTCTTGTAGTGTTGTCATTCTTGTAGTTGTTGTCTCATTCTTGTAGTGTTGTCACTTTGTAGTGTTGTATTCTTGTAGTGTTGTCACTCTTGTAGTGTTGTCATTCTTGTAGTGTTGTCATTCTTGTAGTGTTGTCACTTTTGTAGTGTTGTCATTCTTGTAGTGTTGTCATTCTTGTAGTGTTGTCATTCTTGTAGTGTTGTCACTCTTGTAGTGTTGTCATTCTTGTAGTGTTGTCATTCTTGTAGTGTTGTCATCTTGTAGTGTTGTCACTTTGTATGTGACTTTGTAGTGTTGTATTCTTGTAGTGTTGTCACTCTTTGTAGTGTTGTCACTCTTGTAGTGTTGTCACTCTTGTAGTGTTGTCATTCTTGTAGTGTTGTCATTCTTGTAGTGTTGTCACTCTTGTAGTGTTGTCACTCTTGTAGTGTTGTCTCTTGTAGTGATGTCATTCTTTGTAGTTGATTTGTTCATTCTTGTAGTGTTGTCACTCTTGTAGTGTTGTCACTCTTGTAGTGTTGTCACTCTTGTAGTGTTGTCACTCTTGTAGTGTTGTCATTCTTGTAGTGTTGTCACTCTTGTAGTGTTGTCATTCTTGTAGTGTTGTCATTCTTGTAGTGTTGTCACTCTTGTAGTGTTGTCACTCTTGTAGTGTTGTCATTCTTGTAGTGTTGTCACTCTTGTAGTGTTGTCATTCTTGTAGTGTTGTCATTCTTGTAGTGTTGCCACTTGTAGTGTTGTCACTCTTGTAGTGTTGTCACTCTTGTTGAATGTTGTCATTCCTGAAGTATGTTGTCTCACTTGTGTTGGTTTAGTGATGTCAGTTGGCACGATGGTTAATAGGGTTTAAAGCCTACTAACTGCACGGGGGTCAGCAAGGCCTCATGGAACCTGCTCACTACCTGTCAAGAATACCTAAATACCTAAAATAGTGATTTAAGTAAACTGCCAGTATATATACACTAAGAGATATGCACCTCACTGTGTATATCCTTGCATGTCCGTTGACAGGGATCTCAATGAATATTCACATTGTTTGACTTGATTGGGTTATCTCAGGTTAAATCTACAAGTATTTTTATTCGTCCAAAGTATCTATTTGCCCTCAAGATTATTTTATAAGAATGTATGATATATTCACTAAGTCTGTGTACTTTATGCATATAAAACCTAGCAATTGACTTGATCGCCTGCTGGATTTGTCTCATTATTATCCCAGCAGCAACAGCCTGGTTGACCAGGCACGCGTCAGGCAAGCCTGGCCTAGGGCCGGGCTTCGGGAGTAGAAAAGCTCTCGAAACTCATCAGCGGTATATCAAAGTTGCTGTTATATTGTGTGTGTTTACATAATGGTCAGTTGTCTGGGTGTAAGAGCTGGGTTAATGTTGTCACTGTTGTCTGGTTTCTATGCAGTGGGAAGGTCACGCCTTCCCAAGTGTTTTCAGTGTTGAAGGGGATTTCAAGGGTGTGGAGGTCGATGTTTGTTAAGGGGGGTTTAAAGCCTGTCGATTATACCAGATAATTTAATATCTCTAATAGAGATGAATCAATCATCATATATACATAAATCACTGTGTTTATATCCTGTCCTGCCATACTGTGATGTTTATATCCTGTCCTGCCATACTGTGATGTTTATATCCTGTCCTGCCATACTGTGATGTTTATATCCTGTCCTGCCATACTGTGATGTTTATATCCTGCCCTGCCATACTGTGATGTTTATATCCTGTCCTGCCATACTGTGATGTTTATATCCTGTCCTGCCATACTGTGATGTTTATATCCTGTCCTGCCATACTGTGATGTTTATATCCTGTCCTGCCATACTGTGATGTTTATATCCTGTCCTGCCATACTGTGATGTTTATATCCTGTCCTGCCATACTGTGATGTTTATATCCTGTCCTGCCATACTGTGATGTTTATATCCTGTCCTGCCATACTGTGATGTTTATATCCTGTCCTCCATACTGTGATGTTTATATCCTGTCCTGCCATACTGTGATGTTTATATCCTGTCTGCCATACTGTGATGTTTATATCCTGTCTTGAACTGTGATGTTTATATCCATGTCCTGTCCATACTGTGATTGTTTATCCTTGTCCTGCCTATACTGTGATGTTTATATCCTGTACTACTATACTTGTGATAGTTATATATCCTGTCCTCCATATTTGATGTCTTATAACTGGTCAATAGCAAAACTCATTTGAATTTATATCCTGTCATGCCTATACTGTGATGTTTATATCTGTCTTGCATACTGTAAAGTAAATTTATAATTCTTGTCCTGCCATAATGTGATGTTAATATCCTTCCTTTGCATACAGTAACTGTTTATATCCTTACCTGCACATACTGTTGATGTTTAATCTGTCTGCCATACTGTGAATATATTTTCTTCTGCATACGTGATTTTGGCGATATCTGTCTGCCATACTGTGATGTTATTCCTGTACTGCCATATGTGATGTTTATATCTGTCCTGCCATATGTGATGTTTTATCCTGTCCGCATACTGTGATGTTTATATTCCTGTCAACTTAGTTTACTATAATTCATATATATGATGTTTATTATCCTGGCCGTCCGCCAACAGTGCCTGAAAAGTTTATATCTGTCGCCATACTGTGATCTCATCATCCTGTCTGCCATAATGTGTATGTTTTTAAATCCATGTCCTGCCATAGCGTGATGTTTATCTACCTGTCCGCTGCCATACTGAATTCTATAGCAGTGAATAGAAAAAGATTCTTCATATATATCCAGCCTGTCATTCATTGAATGGAATTAATCAATAACTATAATCGAAGTATTAAGTAATAGTAATAGTAGGACTTGTCTTAGCTTTCTGTCTTTAAAAAAATACTTGTATGTGTGTGGTGTTTTAATATTATATATATATATGTGTATATTTCATATATATATATATATATATATTATATATATATATATATATATTATATATTTATATATTATGTATTCGTGCCATATTTAAAACTGGTCAATTAGCAAGAACTTGTTTAAAATTAAGTCCTTTCTAAAAAAATTTCCTGTACGTTTGAAGATATATTTTTTTCATTAATGTTAAAGTAAAAATTTATAATTTTGCTCCAAAAGAATCTTAGAAAACTTACCTAACCTTATTATAACAAGAACAATTT